ATATATATATAGCTTATCAGGGTGGGTTTCAATAGCAGAAATGTCTGTAGGCATCAGTATGAACACTTGTGTTTTTTGTACAGATCTCTATGGATATCTAGCAAACAACAGAAAAAGCAACAAACTGAAGAAGAGGAAGTAAATGCATCCGAAGATATTAACAGAATATGGTTTTAACAACTAAGGAACAAAAACACAAACCCGCAGGTTAATTTTAACGAACACCGAATTTCTATTAAAAAAACACAATAAAATGTTCTCCATCACTAAACAAAGACGAAATAAATCTTATGGTTTTCAGAACAATAGGGCTGGCCCTCAAGTTCCCACATTAAAAAGACAACATACGACAAAAATAGCATGCTAAAAATTATTTTTATTTGTTGACACTGATGCTTTTATTTAACACAGTGAGGGAACAGTWCTTACGCCCACCTTCAGGTGAAAACAATGCACAGAAGGTCCCTGCACAAGCGTCAATATGCTGACGAGTCCGACATGAGAATGTGTTACTGTGACAGACTGATATATACAGTATTTGATACAAATTCTTGATCCAGCAACATTTTCAGATCAGGAATTTAACAACCGCATTCCTGAAATTCCCGAAACCACACAATTAGCAAAACACGATTTATTTAAACCAGGTATGTGTTTCAATAATCTAGAACAACAAAGAACTATTTAAGTTTTGAAATTATAATTTTTAAAATATGTTTGATATGAAAAGATGTGAGCAACATATTTCATATTTCAATTAACCTAAGCACAATTTACCACAATAGGGGTTAAGGAGGAGGTAATTACAGCACCAGCACAACAGCCATGTGAGGGTGGGACATAAATAAGGATAGTGACAAACCATGTAATCTGTATGCTGTGTTGGATTACAGTTTACTGTCATACAGTGAGTGAGGGTCACTGGTAYCCATGTCCAGCTGTCACTGTACACTGGACAGGTCCATCACAGGGACACAGACAGACAAACAACCATTCACACCTGGGGACAATTTAAAGTTACCAATTAACTTAACATGCATGTTTTTGGTCTGTGGAAGGAAACCAGAGTACCTGGAGAAAACCCACTCCTGCCTGRGGAGAACATGCAAACTCCAACAGGTCCCAAGCTGGGAATCTATCCAGCAAACTTCGTCCAACAAAGGTCAATATTTCTTCACCTGAGAGTACAAATCCTCTGCCTGGTTTGCAGTCTTTGTTGAGCTGTTTTCTACTTGAGACACTTTGACCTGTGAGTACAGTGTCTCCTCCTCCTGAYGTCTGCTGCTGTGCACTGAGACAGAGGAAGGTCCAGGTTTCTTCTTGAGGAAGTTCACGTCCTCATAATGAACATCTTCCTCTGGATTATTGGTGGCAGCTTGAGGAACAAGATCCACACATGTTTGACTCTGTGAAAACATTGGAGAAACACAAAGAGTTGGAGTCTTCCACTGTTACAGTAAGAAGTTTTCATTCCTATATCATGGGCAATGTACGGAGCCCAACCGCTGACACTGGATAAAAAAACTGACGCATGGTCATGCATTACTGTCAGAAGGCAATGAGATAATAATATATGGCTACAACATAAATAACACATGGCAAGGAGATAATGGGTGGCCATGAGATAAATAATGGATGGCCACAAGATTCATAATGTGTGCCCACAAGTTAAGATAAATAGTGCCTGGCCACAATATAACATGTGTTTCCACAAGATAAAGTATGTGTGGCCACAAGATAAAYATTGCATGGCCATGAGATAACATCRTTTGGCTMCGAGAAAAAATGTGGCCACAAGATAAATGACACATGGCCACAAGATAAACAATGCATGGCCATGAGATAAATGCCATTTTGCCGTGAGATATCTATTGCTGTCCTTCAGTGCAGAGACTATTATCAGTTTGGMGAAGTTTAAAWTAATTTCATTTTAATATAGGAATAAATGATGTACTTTAGTGACTTGAGGTCAGAAATGAAGTAATTCTTAGCCTTATATGTTAACTTGCAGATTTAAGAAACCAGTGATGACTGGTGTTGTATTTGACTAAAAGGTTTTGATATTTTTGAGGCTCACCATGACATGACCAGAGGTGTTGATCTAAAAGTTCTGCCAGACATGGAAGCAGACATGAGGTCATTATCAGGGGATCAGACAAGGACTTTGAGAAAATGGTGGATATCTACTGACTGAGGATGTAGTAACACCTGACACATTTGGTCCACTTTAAATGGACCAGAGTTTGTTTCCCCCGTTGGTCCGGACCTTTTATGCAGGTGTAAATATACTCATGAGCCCTGGTGTGGACCAAACAACTACACTGAAACCTGCTTTTGAGATGGTCTCGGTCTGCTTCCAAACAAACTCTGGTGCAGTTTGCTTCTGGTGTGAATACAGGCAGGCCTTGAACTGAAACATGCACCTTTTTAGACWTCGCAAGCCCCCATTGCTAAGCATCATGGTAACGATCAGTCTTTCAGTGTTGCTAACATTAACACTGCGCTACAAACAATGAGTCGATGTGGGTCAGAACACGCAGAGCATTTCATCTCCTTTGGGTTACGGCACACATTTACCAACTCTGTCCCATAATTAGAAGTATATYATCATGAAACCACAGTTGTATGAGCTGCTCTTGAAAGTCTAAATGGTACTGAAATTGTATAAACAGCACCATCTTTCTTTCTGGGTCTGYGCTCTGTCCCGCCCCYGTCATTTCTGTCCAATGGGAACAATGATTCCACTCCCTGGGCTGCCACTGTCACGGTCTGTGTTTCTGTGCCTTGGTTTCTTTGTAGTGTTTCTGTGTTCCCCTGTGTACCTCTGCCCTGCTGTCTTGCCTTCAGCCCYGCCCATGTTCACCTGTTTCCTCYTGTGTCTCCTCCCAGTGTTTCTCGTTGTCCCTCATTAGTTGTTCTAGTTGTTCTGCATCCTGTTTTCAGTGTTTGTCCGATCATTGTTCTGCTCCCCCTCAGCCTGTGTGGTGTCTCCTTGTTCTACTGAGAAGTTTTTGAGCTGCCTTGCCAGCCTTTTTGTTTATTTAATGAAGCCTTTTTGTCACATCTTGGACCTAGCCTGCATTCTGGGTTTTTCTATCAGAGATTCTCAGAGCCATCTTTTCATGGTGGAGAGGTTTGAGTGTCCCAATGATCCTAGGAGCTATGTTGTCAGGGGCTTCATGCCCCAGGTACTGTAGGGTCACCCAAGGAAAACAGGTCCCAGGTGAGGGATCAGACAAAGTGCAGCCCAACAACCCCTTATGATGAACAACAACATTGGATCTAGTGTTCCCTCGCCCGGACGCGGGTCACCAGKGCTCCACTCTGGAGCCATGCCTGGAGGTGGGGTATGTTGGTGAGCGCCTGGTTGCTGGGCTTTCACCCATGGAGCCCGGCCGAGTACAGCCCGAAGAGGAGACATGGGTTCCCAGAGGGTGCATYATGTGTTGGGCAGTGGTCRAAGACATGGGTCTTTCTGCTTAGTACTGCCCCCGCGACCCGACCCCGGATAAATGGAAGAAAACGGATTGATGGGAACAAGGATTGTCACTTGTGTGGCTTTCTTTATAAATTATAGTACACTTGCAAAAAACCCAATGTGAATGTAAACCACACCAAATGAAAAAAAAATGTCTGGTTCTGGTCCTTACCAAACAAGTAGACCAAAGTACTTTCCTCCTGTGAATACACCCTGAAAGTGTTCAATAATCTGTCAGAGATCAGGTGTAGGAAAGGTGCTTATATGGAGTAGGAGACAAGTGAATATCATGATTGCAGAGAGACAGATGGGTGTGGCAGGCAGCAGCAGCAAAGACTGACACGTCACTCAAAACGATGACGATGAGTTTTTATCTTGTGGCCACGCATTAATTGTTTTTACCCATGTCACCAGATGGGCTCTGTAGACATAAATGTCATTTTGATATTTTAAATATTTAGTTGAAACTTTTTTTTGTTTATAAGGTGGAATTGTTATTCAACATACAAGTCAAATAGTTTTTCTTTATAAACTAATTTACACCTAATATTGATTATTTGCYAATTAAATTTTGTTTGTTTTATGTATTTTGTGATTCTTGTGTTTGGTTCCTTGGTGCCACCAGTCATTACTCCCTCAGTCACACTCACCTAAAATGAGTGTGTGTAAATGCATGACCACAACTGTTGAAGAAAAACAAGTACAACACAGTATACAAAGATTTACTGTTTACTTACCTGAGTCGGTTGGGGAGATGAATGTTTGAACCTAAAATACCTAGGAGACATTAGAGAGCTGTCAGGTTGACATTATTCTAAAATTATTGAATAATAGTGATTAAAAAACTTCATAATAAAATCAAGATGGCAAAACCAAATTTAGACTAAAAGAGTAGAGGAAACATGAGACTGAAAGACTTCAAGTAAAGAGAGTGAATATAGGGAGTTTATTGGTACACAAACAAACAAAACATGAAGGTCACAGATGTGCTGTCTCAGTTTGAACGCAGTTTGACCTGACAATTTGCTGTGAGAATATTTTTGAAAATCTGTTACTCACCAAACACAGAGAGCCAGACCGAGGAGCAGAAAGACAACAATCATTGAAATAAGTGAAGTCTGTGTTTGGTTAGAGCTGTTGTCTAAAAAAGAAAAAGTAATTGATTACCAGAAAACAAAAAAGAAGACACCACAAAGACAGAGGACTTTATTGATCATGGAGAAATTTTGACATGTTTACCTTCAAGAACCTCACAGTTATAGATGTACATGACTCCTACAGCTGCTTTCGTGACTTCCTGTTTGCTGATGTTGAACCAGGTGTAGCTGTTGATGGGATACTTGGTTCTGCTGGAGCAGGTCAGGTAGAACCAGCTACCTGCTGACATCAAAGCTGAGGTGTCTGTGGAAACATTTAAAGGAAAAAACACTTTATTAATCAGAAACAGCTAAATGATGATGTTCTGACAGAGTGACTTAAATAAAACACAGAATCTCTTTAC